TAACTCATATTATTATAGATATTTTGGGAAAGTATTGCAACAATAAATATATATTTATATTCTCCTGTTCATAGGAAAAATATGCCTGTAATATAGAATTAAAATGTAAAAGAATATTTTATAGATTTTATTTTGGTGAGTGAAAAAGGAATAGAGTCTTTGCCACAAACCTCGAATTTTCTCGTTCCCATATCTTTGAAACCTGATATTTCTAACTTAAAGTATTCATAGTTTGAAATTTCTAAGGATCATTGGGTTGCAAAGATATAGGGATTAAAATGTGTGTCAAAGTATCAATCCTTTCTTAAAGAAAAATTTTTAAAATGTAAAAGAAAATGATCAATTATTGCATCTTTCCATCTTGAGGCTGGTACCGTTTAAATACAGGTTTTTTCTTATGTTGTACCGGAAATGCATGGTGTCAAGCCTACCTAGAGTATACACATTCTTCCTAGTTTAGGTATACCTGGAGTATACATATTCTCCCTGGTTTCATGTATACCTGGAGTATACACATTCTCCCTGGTTTCATGTATACCTGGAGTATACACATTCTTCCTGGTTTCAGGTATACCTGGAGTATACAAATTCTCCCTGGTTTCATGTATACCTGGAGTATACATTCTGCCTGATTTCAAGTATACCTGGATTATACATATTCTTCCTGGTTTCAGGTACACCTGGAGTATACATATTCTCCCTGATTTCAAGCATACCTAGAGTATACACATTCTTCCTGGTTTCAGGGATACCTGGAGTATACACATTTTCCCTGGTTTCAAATACACATAGAGTATACACATTCTTCCTGGTTTCAAGTATACCTGGAGTATACACATTCTCTCTGGTTTCAAGGATACCCGGAGCATGCACATTTTTCTGGTTTCAAGTATACCTTGAGTATACACATTCTCTCGGATTTCAAGTATACCTGGAGTATGCACATTCTTCTGGATTCAGGTTTACCTGGCGTATACACATTCTCCCTGGTTTGAAGCATATACATTCTTCTGGTTTCATGGTATACCTGGAGTATACGCATTCTCCCTGATTTCAAGTATACCTGGAGTATACAAATTCTTCAAATTTCAGGTATACCTGGAGTATACATATTCTCCCTGATTTCAAGTATACCTGGAGTTTACACACTCTCCCTGGTTTCAGGTATGCCTAGAGTATACACATTCTTCCTAGTTTTAGGTATACCTGGAGTATACATATTCTCCCTGGTTTCATGTATACCTGGAGTATACACATTCTCCCTGGTTTCAGGTATACCTGGAGTTTACAAATTCTTCCTGGTTTCAGGTTTACCTGGAGTATACACATTCTCCATGTTTCAAGTATAACTGGAGTATACATATTCTCCTTGGTTTTAAGTATACCTGGAGTATACACATTCTCCCTGGTTTCAAGTATACCTGGAGTATACACATTCTTCTGGTTTCAAATATACCTAGAGTTTACACATTCTCCAAGGCTTCAGGTATACCTGGAGTATACACATTCACCATGGTTTCAAGTATACCTGGAGTATACACATTCTTTTTGGTTTCAAGTATACCAGGAGTATACATATTCTCCTTGGTTTCAAGTTTACCTGGAGTATACTCATTCTCCCTGATTTCAAGTATACCTAGAATTTACACATTCTCTCTGATTTCAAGTATACCTAGAGTATACACATTCTTCCTGACTTTAGGTATACCTGGAGTATACAAATTCTCCCTGGTTTCAAGTATACCTAGAGTATACACATTCTCCCTGATTTCAAGTATACCTAGAGTATACACATTCTCTCTAATTTTAAGTATACCTAGAGTATACACATTCTTCCTGAACCTGGAGTATACAAATTCTCCCTGATTTCAGGTTTACTTGGAGTTTAAATATTCGCTGTGGTTTAATTATATCCGGAGAACAATTTTCTTTGTCCGTCCCCCTTGAAGGCCAAGTTTCTAATTCAAGGGCAAGGTTTCTGTTCTCTGGCAAAAGTTGGAAACAATAAATATTCTCTCCGCTGAAAAGAATAAATCTTTTATTTTTCATTTCTTTTAAAGCAAAAAGTACCTTTGCAAAATTCTGAAAAAGAATAAAAATCAAAAACTGTTTTGTTGATTACATTTAAGTTTGATGATATCTGCATATAATGAAACTTGTGTCACTTCAGATTCTAGCAAAGATTATGATCTGTCTAATAGACGATGATCATTTGTATAGGTCTATTGTTTAAAAGCTAGTAATATTTCCTGCTATAAGTATCGAAGATCCTGGCCCATTGGGACATCTTTTATATTTCTATATATAATATACGTAATCTCTGTTTGTCTGTCTGTCAGTTGGTTTCGATATCCGATCATAACTCATGAACCCCTGGACCGATTTGCCTCAAATTTTGATTGGGTGTAACCACAGAAATGTTCTTAGTTTGGCTTAAAAAAATGGTGGGTTGACTTTTATAGAGAAAACTCCAGACAAAACTGGGTTCCCAAGGGAGTATATATATAATGTACGTATGTCTGTTCCCAAGGGAGTATATATATAATGTACGTATGTCTGTTCCCAAGGGAGTATATATATAATGTACGTATGTCTGTTCCCAAGGGAGTATATATATAATGTACGTATGTCTGTTCCCAAGGGAGTATATATATAATGTACGTCTGATCACAACTAATATCCTCCTCCTTGACCTCAAAGGAATTGAGTCTTTGCCACAAACTCTGAATTTATAATCCTTATATCTTTAGAAACCAATGTCGTAAATCTTTGATATTTCAAACTTACATTAATTGATCTAACAGAAAGCATAGTTTGAAATATCTAAGGTCTACGACATTGGAACCCAACGATATAGGGTTTAGAAAAACAGAGTTTGTGGCAAAGACTCAATTTCTTTAGTTCTACTCGGTAGAACTACGGGAATAATTTCAGCCTGGTTTAAACATGGTTCTAAGTTGAATTAAGTTGACTCTTGTAGAGAACGTTGAGTTTCCAGCCAAAGCTGGGTTCCCAAGCAAGTTAAATAATAAGATTGGCTGAGTTTTGTTTCTTCTTCCAAAATTTGGTATTTCATATGTATTTTCAACTAAGTGAACAGTCCCTTTAAAGCGATTGCTAATTTTTTTGAAAATATACTTAATCAATCAATATCCTTGCAAAATCATTTTGTATAATTTAATAGGGCCAGTATCGATAATATTGGCCCTTTGGGACAGCTTTGAGCAATAGTTTTAGCTTAGCTTGTTTCTAATTCAAAAATATAGAATTTTATGTGAAATGTACACACTCCCTTACTTTATCTATTTCTGCAAACTGTATGAAGTAAACCTTGCATTCAAATAGAATTGGAAAGTAAGAAATGAAGAATGAAAAATGATCTGATATATTTGAACCATAGATTCAGTTACCATTTTATTTCTGCATGGGTAGGGGAGGGGTATAGAGAGGGGGGGGGTTGCCGGGTGGTCATAATTTTATTAGTTTTACAGAAATAATTTAGTTTAATTTTTTATTACTTAAAGCTACTTTCAGGGGCGTAAATAAGGATTCTGTAGGGGGGGTGAAATTTTTTAATTTGGCAAAATTTCCCCCCTAGAATTTTTTTTTCCCCCCCCCCCAGAGAAATATCATGATGTATATCAAATTATTGGTTTTAATTGTGGTTGATTTGCATTTTCCACTCATTTCTGGCATTTACAAATTCCATCTAATAAAGGCTTCATTTCCTACCTTTCAGCTTTCACCTTTACTCTGAGAGGAAAAAGATTTTACCTTTTTAAATCTTTAGAAAAGCTACTCTGCAAAGCTTTGAAAAAATATTGTATTTGTTTATATTCTTATTTCTAATTTCTAAAAAATTTTTGTCGTCAATGTAGTATGTTAAGATCTTAATAAATCTAATATAGAAATGACATTATTTAGAAGTAAAAATGTATTTTTCATTGCCCATACCCTTTTTAGTTTTTTCTATTTAAAAAAAAACATCTAATTGTAATGACATTGACTATTACTTTAGAATTTAAAATCATTTAGAATATGTTGACTTAAAATCTGAATTATCTGAAGTATCTGCACATTTAAATTATTTTCGCACAAATTTCAATTTCAATTTTATTATAAACCTTTTTTAAAAACAAAAACAAAGTAACAACTCGCTATTCAGGGCCTGAATAGTTCAGGGGTAATTACCTCCAAGATTCTAGGGGTGATTACCCCCAGGATTCTATGGGGGGGTAATTACCCCCAGGTTTATAGAGGGGGGGGGGGTAAATAACCCCAATAACCCCCCTTATTTACGCCACTGGATACTTTCCAATTTTGTCGCACTGAGTATTAAATTTTATTTATAATTTTATTATTGATACTGATGTATTAAATACAAAATATACTTTTCACTTTAAATTTCAATTGTTTATATTAGTAATTATTAATATTTATTGTGATGCCATGGTTATAATAACCTTTTTTATTATTACCATTGTTATAAAATAATTTTAATCTATATAATAAAACAAGACATTCGCCAGACCGAATGGGCTGACATTTTTTTTACATTCATAAAATGTAAAAATGAAACATTTGTAAAGAAATGCATTTAAAAAGATTTAACAAACCCTTTTTAATAGATCTAAGTGAAGGCTGCGTTTCTGCCGAAACTTGGACAACCTGTTACCTAGATGCTGTAATGGTCTAAAAGAAAAAACTTTATTCTTTCTATAAAAATGTTCAAAAACTAATAAAGTACTTTTTGAAGACTGAGCAGCGTGTAAAGGTTGAGCGTGTCGAAGCTTCTCTTGACAAAGATTAAATAGGTATTAAATCAAAAATGTATTTTCAAATTATGCATACAAAAACTACACTACGGTTTTCTATAGTTTAACTTTTATAGAAAACTGAAACCAGTGCTCATGTGGCTGGAAAACTGAAACCAGTGCTCCATGTGGCTGGAAAACTGAAACCAGTGCTCCATGTGGCTGGAAAACTGAAACCAGTGCTCCATGTGGCTGGAAAACTGCCCTTCAACACAGTGTAAACTGCTATGCTCAACCTGGACTTTGTCAAGCCTACAAGTCCCAAAAGGTAGATTATTTTCATATAAAAAACATTGAACAATTTGTGAAAATCTAATGTTATTGAAATCTAAAAACTCAATAACAAATAATATTTAATTAGAACTTTTGGTGTAGAGTTCAGAGAATCTCTTTAGGTCGTTATAAACTAAAATGCTCCTTCAGCTGATTAAATAAAATTGTTTCTGAAAATGCCAAAAGAAAAAATTGTAAAATATTTGTAAATGATTTATATAAATATTTGTGTAATCAATCAATAATTTGTTTAGGCATTATTGATCGATTGATGAGTATGCAAGCATTGATCTGTGAACTAGCTGTAAACTGTGCTCTCATGTAAATGGATACCCACCGTAATGAAAGTTTTTATATTTTATAGTGAATGTAAGAATATCGATCATAAAAATATTTTAAGATAATTGCACTTTTGTATTCTTCCATAAAAACCTTTATTGTCCTAAAAAAGTAGTCCTATATTTAACATCTAAAAAGCCGCGCAAAAAGATTATATTATATTTCAGTTTTTACCTGATTGAAATTACTGCCCACAAATAAATTATAAAACTGCCGGAGTTCGTTAATCAGAGTGATAAAGAGGAAGGCTTGCCATTTTAAGCATTCCGATAAGAAACTAAATCTTCAGGGTGCATTGGTTGTACCCGTTCGTCCAGTGGACGAACCAGGTCTTTGCTGGAAACCAAACAATAATGTGGAAGATATTGTCGTTTTCCAGACATATAAGTTGTTAATTCTGATTTTCTTTATGTTTTTTGTTGTAATAATATTAATAATTAAAAACATCAAATACGCAATAATTTATCTTTATAATTTATTAATTATAATGGAAAACAATCAGTTTTTAAATTAAAAACATTAAAATATAATTCACATCTGATCAGACCAAGCTTTTACGGCGGTTTTACGGCCACCATTGTGAATAAGGCATTGCAATCTTTGCAAGGAGGGTCACTTGAAGTAACGCTTACAATCCCTTTGAACTTATATCCCCCCTTTTTTAATGTTTTAGCACTGTATACTGTACAGCCAATCTCACATTTAAGAATATAGCAAGAGCGCATTAAATGTCATCCTGATATTCATTTCAAATTTATGACAACTGCTATGCTTCTTCATTGGTCTGCACTAAAAGGAAGCTTCTGAGATGTTAGCAGCGTCCAATGGTTGAGAATGATTTATGAAAATATATACAAATATCATTGTAGAGTCATAAGTTTTTGATAATTCTTAAGAAACTACTTTTATTTTTAATTCAAAATAAATTAAAAGCCCTGAAATATGCATGACAACAATTGATAACCTAAACTTGCTTTTCCGCGGCATTTATGGTCTATAACTATGTTGAGAATACGACATTATAAAAACTCTTGCTATGTATTCATATATCTGGGATTCACTGTATACTATTTCATTAATATGTTTAAATTAAACTAAATCACAAGGCAAATGTAATTTAAGATCTAAAATAAAAAAAAATAGTTTTGAAATTAAATCCATTAAAATGATTTTATCCAAACAGAAAAGTTTGAATTTCTTCAAGTAATAATTTTCGTTTAAATTGTTGACCCTAATACTCCAGTTTCGCCTCTTCAAGCAAGCAGATGTTCATTTAAAACAGATTTATCATCTCTCCTATATGAAAGATAAAGGATTTTAACGGTAAACGGTTAAAAATGAAGATGATGAGAACTGAATGTTTAATGGGTTGGAACTTGGAATTAAACTTTAAAAGGGTTCGGATAACAGGCTAGTGACAACTTAAAGGGACTGTATACGTAATTTTAGGTGTCCATCCATCTATTAAGTCTTAGAGCATGCCCGATTCCTAACGGTACCCTTTAAACATTTGTCTGAGTAAAAATGAATGAGATATCCATACGTGACTTGCTGGGAAAGGAAGAAAAAAAGGGAAAAGAAGGAAAATAAAGGAAAGAAAGGGAAAAGAAGGAGAATGAAGGGAAAGAATTGAAAAGGAAGGAACAGGAAGGAAAGAGAAGGAAAAGGAAGAAAAAAGAACATTAAGAAAAAGGAAGTAAAAGAAGGATAAAGGAAGGATAAGGAAGGAAAAGGAAAGAAAGGAAGGAAAGGAAGAAAAGGAAAGAATAAAGGAAAAAAGGAACAGAATTGACAGAAAGGAAAACGAGAGAAAAGGAATTGAAAAGGAAGGGAAAGGAGGGAAGGTACAGGAAGGAAAGGAACGAAAAGAAAAGAAAAAAGAAGGAAAAGGAACGGAAAGGAACGAAAAGGAAAAAAAGGAAGGAAGGAAGAAAAAAAGGAACAGGAAGCATCAAAGGAAGTAAAGAAAAAAAGGACAAGGAAGAGGAAGGAAAAGAAAGGAATAGTAGAGGTAAGAAAGGAAAAGGGAAGAAAATAAGAGAGATGAGGAAAAAGAATGAATTAAAGGAATTGGAAAGGAGAGAAAGTGAAAAGAAAGAAAAAGAAAAGAGAAGTTGGAAAAGGAAGAAAAGAAAAGAAGAAAATTTTAATTTTGCGTACTCGTGAAAGGTTAAGAATAGAAAGATAATTACTTTGAAATATTTATTAAGTGACAAAAATCTATGAAGACGATGGAAAAATCTATCATTTCACCGCTACGTGTAAATGATTAATTGATTGTGATATTTCTAAGTATCCCTACCGCGTCACATTATATATTTTTTCTGACGAAAACAAATTTTACAAATACAGAAGCTTTCAGAATCAAAAGGAGCGCTAATGCTACTTTAGGCATAATTTATGAAAAACTAGAAATAAATGACCCTTAAAATTTGATTTAATAACGTTTTGTTGAATATTTGAAAAAGCGCATTTAGTTGTGGTTTATGTAGAAACATAATATTTATCGTTGCAAGTGATGAAATGTTAACTGCTGCAATTGATAATCATTAGAAAGATATTTTCATAAATTCATTGCTGAAAAGCTGATTTTCACGACTGCTGCAGTAATTGTTAAAATAAAAGTCATATATTGCTTTAAACTCATTACTTAAACTTTCTATATATTATTTGGAATCTGTGGTGGTGACATTTAAAGAATTAACGAGTTTAATGACACTTCTTGTAATTTTTTTAAGTATCTTTCTGGAATTTTTTTAATGAGGGTTTCTTGGAATTATGTCTTTTTGAAGATTTATTAATTTTTTCAGATCTTCTAAAAATGGAGATTCTTAGAAGTGTACTGGTCGGAAATGATACTGGAACACATACCGTTACGTCCGCAGATACCATAGGTAATAATAAGGGCCGTGAACCCCCACCTCCGCCTGATTTAAGAATTTATGCCAAGAAGTTATGTCAACCCATGAGCATGCAATAAAAAATAAATATGTTTAATTTGTTTTCAAAATAGTATCATTTATCAAATTAAAGGGGGGGGGGGGGGACAAAAAGCGTGGCTTTACGACAGACCCTTTTATTTTTCCTCAACAGGGGAAACCTGGTAACATGATTTTTTGGGGGTTTGCATATCTTGTTTATTAACATCTTTGATGTTGAAAAATACGTTGGTAGATTTTTGTCTTTCAGATCCGGATTAAGGGAATTGGGTCCGTCCAAGAGAACGATTTTTGGACCCCCCATTCTATCAATTTTGTACATGACCACTTTTTTAACAATTTTCAATTAAATTAGTATGTATTTAGGGTTAGGTTAGGTTAAGACACTTTCTGGGCCGAGCGCTGCGGCTAGGACAGGCTAGCGGGCCGAGCGCTGCGGCCATGGGTTAGGTTAAGTTAAGACACTTTCTGGGCCGAGCGCTGCGGCTAGGACAGGCTAGCGGGCCGAGCGCTGCGGCCATGGGTTAGGTTAAGTGTTGACACTTTCTGGGCCGAGCGCTGCGGCTAGATTAAATATAAATTGTGAAACATTTTTTCAAATTTGATATTATGGAGTTTGTATTTCAGAATTTTTTATTTTCAGGAGTTTGTCTCGTCAGGAGTTTGTCTCGTCAGGAGTTTGTCTTTC